AGTTGTATATAATATAACACGATTTCTTCTTCACCTTTAACAAGTTGTTCCTGGATAACATATTCATTGCAAGTCTTACCATCTTCAGACATTCCAGGCTTTCCATCTGATATGCCAATCTCTCCACTTTGTAATGCTTTCTTCAATTTCTCATTCTCTTCTCTCAACTCTCGAATCATTTTCTCAGTGGGATCTTCATTTATTGTTGCCAATGTCTTTATCTGTTTTGCTCGATCAGCTAAAATTTATAATATTTAGAAAGAATTCAATTTTCCTGATGTCATTACTAAATATTAAGAACATAAAAAATATCTCTACCTTGGTCGACCAATCTGTAGATCTAATATTTCATAAAATTATCAATAGTGTAATTGATTTCCACAACTCCAGACACATAAATATAAAATTTATTGTCCATTTTATTTAAATTGTGAATTTTAAATTTAAGGTTTCAGGTAAGCTATTATTATTCTAGATTAAATGACTAACAGTTCTCTCCCTTCATTAAAATTTTCATATCCATTACTCATGATTGTTATTTCATATCTAAAATCCTATGGATTTACGAGTATGTTTAATTTATTATGAAACTGTAAAAAAACAATCAAAGATAGTGTTCTGTGGTATTTAAAATCGAAATTCAGGTAAAATAACTAGTATTTTATGATCCATGAGCAATTTTATAGTACTAAAATTCTTGCATTATTTCCCCATACATGATGAATTTTTAACTAAATATGCATCCTAAAACTAGTTCATCATGGTAAAAAACAGTATATCAATACACTATTTTAAAGGTTATTTATTAAATTACATCAAGAGATCATAAAATGTACCATATCTTAAGGTGGAGAGTGTCTCTTCATAGTTGATATCTGCTGGACTGATGGCTGCAACCTGAAAATTTTCAAATGTTTTATATTTAAGACTCTCTGAATAATCAGTTGATTTAGTTCTAAATAAAAAGGGATTGAACTCGTAATTTGAAAAGAACAGGGTAAACCAAGTTCTACTGATTTATAAACAGCTGCAGACTGGTAATTTACTAACTAATAATAAGTGATCTAGTTCTAAATAAAAATATTAAACTCATAATTTGAAAAGAACATGGTAAAACAAATTCTGTTGATTTATAGCCAATTGCAGACTGGTAATTCACTAATAATCATTTGATTTAGTTCTAAATAAAAAGGATTAAATTTATAATTTAAAAAGAACAGGGTATATTATAATTTTCTTATACTGAAAATGTATTTCAGACAGATACTTACCTCCCCTAACATAAACAGCTATTCTCGTTCACTGCTGCCCTCTATATGCAAAACTTTGTTTGCATGCTACAAGCCTTGAGCTCCCAAGTACCCTACATTCAACACTGGTTTAACTGCATCTTGCATGTAAATCAACATGCGACAACCCTTCACCAATAGGAGTGTGACATACCTTCCTGATGCGTGTGACTCCCTTTATTCGATTCTACCAAACTATCACTTCGAGTTTTGGCAGAAAATAGAAGCACCAGTTTTTAGTGGGTAGGAATGGTGGGAAGAGTGAGAGGAGGTAAGTACCTTTCAGAAATATATTTTCAGTATAGGAAAATTATAACTTTTAATGTGGTACATTACCTCCACTCATATAAATAGCTAGAATCCCACATTGAATAGGTGGAGGAACAGGTGCAAGGGAAAGAAAGAAGCATTCCTCAAAAGCATCTGAAGAACATAGAGTATAGAGTGGCTTGGGCATGATGGACTGTACATAGCAAGTCAATTACATCCAAAACTCAATCCCCAGAAACTGACATCCATACGGGGGTAGAATGAGGATCATACCATTGATAAGTCAACTACAATCCAAAACCCAACAACCAGAAACCGACATCCATGTGGTGGTTGGAAAGAAGATCATACTGCTAGCAAGTCAACTACAATCCAAAACCCAGCCACTTGGAACCGACATCCATGTAGGGGTAGGAAAGAGGATCATATCAGCAGCAAATCAGCTGCAATCCAAAACCCAGCCAACTGGTGGGGGTAGGAAAGAGGATCATACCATCTTCACCTCAAGTTCAGCAGACTGGAGAGAAATCTTATACCCACCGATCTGTAAATAGACACATGATAGCAATATCATAAATTGTTTGACTAATCTGGGAATCTGACATCCGGACAACTGGTATGAGAAAAATGGCCCTGTAAAGTAAACAATCCCATTCAAAATCAATCTGACAGGAACCACCCCCAGTGCAATAACATCCTCAGTATATGAAAATCGTCAAGGGATAGCATAAGAGGAAGAACCTTATTAATCTGTAAGTGCCACCACCATGACCCACAACACAGATGGAGTGCACAAGAGTATAATTGAGTGAGGGAACAAAGACACCTGTAATACTTGTATGAGGACTTATGTTGATTGGTTCAGCTCTAAATCAAAAACCCAGCCACTGGGAACTGTCATGAGAGATTCCAATCGAACAATTGAATTGCAATTTTGATGCCTCACTCCAAAGCTACGACATCCCCTCAGATAAACCCATACAAAGGTGGAGCATCAGACTGAAGGACATCTTGTCATCTACACCAGAAGAACACCACTGCTCTACTCCCAACTGAATGGTTGCATAATTGTTTGTAACATATATCACTATACATTCATAGCTAATGGAAAACGAGAGGATCAAGAAACCACTCTGTCAGATAAACTTTGTCCAGAATAGAAAGACGATCTGCAACAATATTGAATGCACCCTGAACATGGCACACACACAGAGATGAACACCAAGCGTGTGGGCCCAAAAAGGAGATCAAAGGTTTGACCACAAAGGGAATGAGAACGGTTGTGCCTTGGTGATTGATATAAGTCACCACTGTAGAAAGGATCGTAGCAAGAAAACTCCTGGCAACATGAAGAAAATAATACAAAGCACGATGTACAGCCAGAAGCTCCACGATGTTGATATGGTAATCATGATCGACTGGACACCACAAACCTGAAACTTCCTACTGATCGACCCACACCCTCCAGCTCTGGAGGGAAGCTTATGAAAAGATATGCAAATGCAGGGGATGAAGCACATGTGAGCCCTGTCCAACCCCCAATGTAGATCATCAAAAAGAAAAGGAAGAGGAGGAATAGGAGTGTCTAATGAATCCTGCACAAGATTCCATTGGTTGTGCAGGGTCCACTGAAGAGACCTCATATGCACCTTACCCAAGAGGATATGGGCTTTCATAGAAGACCACATCTCTAAAAGTGATAGAACCTCACGAGCAGTAATAGAGGAGTAGTAAGACCATTGAGAACTGAAAGCTTTATTGAATGGAGTTGAAGAGAAGAAGGTTGGGCCAGACTGAGATGAGTGTTGAAAAAAACACCCAAGTGGACAAGATCTTGGGTAGGTATAAAAAGTGACTTCTCCAACTTGATTAACCAACTCACATGAACTGCCTCCAGGAGCAGCAGATGAGTGTGATGGGTGGACTCCTGTTTTGAACAAGCTAACAAAAGCCAGTCAACTGTGTAATGGTGTAAGTGCAACCTCCAAGCATGCATATATATTGGGCAAAAGCTTTGACCACTTGACAAAAGACATACGAGGCCAAAGCAAGCTTGAAGGGCAGGGCACGAAATTGATAAACTACCCCATGATGAACTAACTGAAGATAGCACCTCGACAGGTGAGATATTGGAAAATGCAGATAAGCATTCATAACATCTACCTTGGTCATCCATAAACCTGGAGAAAAAGCTCACTTGAAGGTGAGAAATAATTCCTGGTAAATAGGGGCAGAACCTAAAAGTGATTGAGGCAGGACAAATCAATCACAGGCCGCCAATCCCCAGTTTTGTTGAGTACCACGAACAACTTGGAATAGAAACCTATAGAAGGATGAGTTACAAGTTTGATGGTTTTCTGGGAGAGAACATTTTGTACCACCTCTGACAGATGTTGAGTAGTGGGTAGGATCCCGTGGCAACAGAAAGGATGTGGATACCAGAAACAACAGAGGAGGGAAAAGGAAGTGGATGACAAATCCCTCGGATAATACCCAAATAATCCACTGATCTGTGGCAAAAACTCGCCATAGGGGTACAAAATCGGTTAAGCAAACCCCCACACGGTAGTCACCAATACTAAGGGCGATGTGTCCATCTGCATCAAATAATACGAAAAAAGGAGGAACACCTGGAGGTAGGAACTGGTAAAAGCTGGGAAGGAGCAGGGCAGGAAACAGTAATAGGGGCTTTTCTAGGCTTGGAATGAAACAAACTGTCAACCTAAGATGAAAGGGTCGATTGCTGTTTAACCAATTCCACACGGGATTCCAAAGTCTCAGGAATATTTCCGAAAACAGATATCTGGAGAAAGGTGACCATATGTAAGTCCCAGAGATAAGTAGGTGGTAGACGAACTTGAGACAATACAGTGTCCCTCCCCAGAAGCTCCCAATAACAGAGAAATCACGTGTGTAAGGAAAGAGCCAAAGAAGACAAATGTGCTAATGTGGAGGTAATCAGGGAGAGGCTATCCTTAGAAAAAATTTCAAGATTGCAGTGGAGCACTTCAAAAAGGAGGTGGATAGTAGACAAGTACCATAGGAGAGTTGATAGGGTAAGATGAAGGTGGGAAAACTGGGCGTGGAATAAACGAATAGGGTGATCATGGTCCACCTCCACATGAGCAAAATTGATTTCAACTGTTGAGAATCAAGAAATGGAAATTCAGCCTGATAGTATGCAAAAGCAAACTGATCTGAAGCCCATGGAGGGCATGCTATCACCCTCAACCAACTGAGAGACAAAATATTCTGCATGAACCCTAATATCTGGGGAAAGGGGGGAGCACAAAATACTGAGAGGAGGGGGCATTGTGTAAGAAAGAAGGGGATTATAAGAAGTCGGGAAAATGGATAAAACAGCCATATTAGATCTAGCTGATTCTGCAGTGGGGCATAGGAAGACACAGCAAAGTCAGGTGGAGGAAAAAGGCTGTCAAATTTCTCATCAGCCCGAACAGATTTGGCATGGGCAACATCAAGAGAAACAGGCTGATTCATATAATGATCAATCTCACATTGAATGAGAACCAATAATGCAATATCTGAGTTACCTCCACCTCCAGCCTGTGTAAGTGTGTTGGTAGATGGTATTAGCTCTGAAGTGGTAACTTGGACTTTGGAATTCATTGTGAACAATGAATGAACAAACACAACAGTAGTAGAATAAAGAAATGAAACTGGGAAAAAATAAGTTATCTTTAAGTTTCCAAACAGTTTTAAAATTGAATAGAACAAATCCGTTTCAGAATTAATGGCAAAAAAAGCACTAAGTTTAAAGAAAAAAACACAATTGAAGAGCACAATAACAAACGTCTTGTTACGACAGTGGGGGTCACGTGACGAGTATTCTAGAAGATTCGCTAGTGTGTTACGATAGCGGGGGTCACGTGACGACAGCGGAAGTCAAGTGACGCTGGTAGCACGTGTTGAGAGTCTTAGAAGTTTCTAGAACAGGCAGTATTATCGTATATAAGTGCGCTAGACAGTGAGAGAGACAGAGTCGAAGCAATAGTGGAAACAGACAGAGGCAGAGACGTAGCGGAGACAAAGCAGGTAGAGAGAAAGAAAGACAGCGATTACGGTCGGCGAGAACTGAGGATAGCAGACACAGAGATCGGAACTATAGTTTGCGGGGATGGACAATTAAGACTAAGCGCGATAGAAAGTGAGTGAATTGTTGTGAACTATAGAGTGTGTAACTGTGAAAATTAAGTACATTACAAAGTTGTATTGAGGAAGAATAAACAAGTTTTATAAAGAAAGGACTTGTATCTTAGAAGAATTAACAAACAAAGATACAGAGACGTAACAGTCTTGACATAAGAACTGACAAACAAGAAGTGATAGTTCGGTAGAATTGAACAGAGGGAGTCACATGCATCAGGAAATTGTGTCTTATGATTATTTACATGCAAGATGCAGTTGAACCATGTTGAAAGTAGGGTATGTGGGAGCTAAAGGCGTGTGGCATACGAAAAAAGTTTGCATATAGAGGGCAGCACTGAACGAGAATTATGTGAGTAAAGGTGGTGCACTATCAGAAATCAAGTTCTGTTGATTTATAGCCAGCTGCAGACTGGTAATTCACGAATAACCAGTGATTTAGTTCTAAATATAAAGGATTAAACTCATAATTTGAAAAGAACAGAGTAAACAAAGTTCTGTTGATTTATAGCCAGCTGCAGACTAGTAATTCAGTAACAAAACTAGAAAATATATCTAATAGTTCACTATGTATTAACTAAATAAAATAATTTTAACTGACATTGTTGCATAAATAAATATTTATCTTTCAATTACATGATCATTACATATATTTTTAAACACTATGTTTCATTAGATAGCAGCTTGTCTTAGTAAAATACAGTAATGAATGAATATATAATTTCTATTAAAAGTACACCAAATACTCATTTTGTTAAACATCACAGAAATGTGGAAATTAATTTCCCAGTAGCATTTTCTGTTGTATTCACTAAATAGTACAGTAAAATATATTAAAAGTTATTAAAAACAATAATAAGTAAATCTATTCTATGTACTTTTTATGACGTACTCTTAGCTTTGTACAGAATAAGTCTTACCATCACTGTTTTGCTGTTGCCTCCAAGAGCATTCATTAACAGCCTAGTCAAAACGGAATCCCTGTAAGGAACTGTGATAAAAAGAAAAATATTTTAAAAAGGGCATTTTCTCATAAAAAGCTAAAAACTGCCATATACAAACAATAATAAGAAAAATTATTATACATATGTATAAACTATAGTTTTTAAATCTAATCACCTTAAGTTTTAATACACTGTTATATGACTATTACAGGGTTGGAATACCAAATACAAGAGATAGGTTTTTCTTATCACCTTCAGTGATATAGGTTTAATAACCTGTAAAAAAATCCTATTTTTCTTTTTCTGGAGCATCTACCTATAGTGTAGGTGGTGAATGATAATTTGGATGTGAAACCTATTACACTCGAGCATATACATCTGCTCCAAATTTAAATTTCAAATAACATTCCAACTACAAGTTAAACTTGATATGTGATGTATACATTGCTTCGAACATATTTCTATGACATTAGGATAACAAAAAAACAAAAAGTATGAAATATGAGATTATATTTTCTGAACACTTAGGTACTACCCTTCTACAAGGTTGAATATGTGTATTAAAAGGATTTTGAATATGCATATCCAGAAGTCATGTGACAACCACACTGATGTAAAGTCACAATGGAATGGCATTTATCATACCTAAATTTTGACATTGCTTGGAATTTGTAGGTAATGTGATGCTACCAAATATTTATATCTTTTGGAAAGGTATGTAATAGTTATTTCTAATGCAAAATATTCATGCACTCTGATGATAAATACATGTTCAGATCAAGGAATTTGAGTTTATAAGATGGAAATATCCCTTGTAATTAATAGCATTGGAAAACAAAGTAATTATGGATCAAGCTGGAGCACCAGGCCAGAAAAAGACCTGAAAAAAGTCATACCCAAGCTGTGTTAAGCAATTTATGGTGTCTTGCAACAGATAAGAATCCACAAATGAAAAGGTCAGTGAGAACTGCCATCCACATACCCTATGCAATGGTATGCAATATAACAAAAAGGATTTCCATCTGTAAATAAAGCAAACAGGGAATGGGTTGTCCAAATATGGGCTCCACCCATACCTTCTGCTCAATTGTGCCACATACCTCAGGCAACTGAAGAATGAAACAAAAATCAATGCTATTCCATGTGAAGACATTAATCAAGTTGCAAGATACAGTGCTTATATATTTCTGTTTGATTGAACAATTAAAATTGGCGATGAGAAACTGCTGTTGTTCTACAATAGATGGATTATAGAAAGCCTGTAGGAATATGAGGTATGCTTTGAACATGGAAACTTTAGATGGAACCTTTTGCAATGAAAACTATTTTCCAGGGATATTTCCAAGATGCATACTCATGATAGAGCATGATTGGACATGGCAACATGGATTGTAATGATGTAGTGAGGCTCCAAAATCATTTTAATATAAGGTTCTCAACCTCAATATTATTGCTTTATTAATCTAAGTGATGACAGCCTTTAAACTGACCAACTAAGGTAATTCAGGAACTATTTCATGGTTTGAAAGTATTTTATACATAATTTTATAAAACTGCCTTTGCTTTTGTCTTCACTGACAACTACCTCATTTCAGGAATTTTCTTCTGTTAGATTTGACATTTTACTTACAAAAAAGTTTTAAACACTTCTAGGATGTTTTAATACAAATATAAAGAAACAAAACAATATTTTTTATTACCTCTTGTATTTTTACCAGATGATTTTTCTGCAAGAGCATGTATACAGTTTCCTAAGCAAGACAATGACTGATTGATTGCAGCTCCTTCCTTCAGTCTGTCACCTGTTGCTCCAGTGCTTGCTACACGTTCACTAGGATACAAGATATAAAATACTTTAAAAATAACTAGTGTCAATTCAAGCTGACCCACAATGAAATCTAATCTTTTTTCAAGAAACAAATATAAGGATTCAAAACATACAAAACAGTAAAAACATTTACTTTCCAACCTAATGAAGGATAATAAAAGCAGATAACACAATTGAATTAAATAAATATATATATATATAAATATGTATATTTTTTAACACAGTCTGGAAAGCCAAATGAATAGTCTAGAAAGTCTCACCTTCCTGCTAAATCAACCAAATTAACAACTGATGTCTTTGCTGTTTCTTGCCCTGTTGCATTTTTTGCCTTTTGAATCAACGTGATACCAACAATAGTGTGAGCTCGGCTACATTCAGGATAAATTTAAATAAAAATTAAATCATAAAAAATGTCTATTAATATAAATGATTCATTTATTAATTAAATTAGTTAAATATTATAAATCAACAATGATATCAAAACATACTTCCCTTGTAAATTATAAAAAATAATAACTGTTAATATATTACCACTATGGTTCATTCCAGATGATGATGAAAAAATCATAATTTAATTGAAATTACCCTCACAACCCAAGTTTGAGCTGTATTTCACAGAACTGGTTATATTCTTATTCAAATTTGGAAACGTTTATTCCAGATGTGAGTTAATCATTCCAAAACTGGCAATACTTGGCCTAGATATGTCAAAATTGATTCTAGATATGAATAAATCCTTCCAGATCTGGCTATACATTTTCCATGTCTAACAACATTTACTCCAGAACAGAACTAAGCCTTCCAGATCTGGCCATATCTCTCCCAGGTATGGTTTTGTTTATTCTTAATCTGAAATATTCTCTTATGTCCAAAATTCTTTATCAAAAATAGCACCAATCAAAATAACTTCACTCAATGTTTTTCAAAATAATTCTGCTATTTGGTAGTATTATTATCTATTACTCTAATAATTGAAAATTAAATTTAAAGTTGATATCTGTAGGTATCATTATATCTTTCAATTAACTTTAACTTAAAGAATTTAGTAAACTTTATTCTGTCCTCTAGATATGCACATATACGTCAAATTTACAATTTAGTTTGTCTTTTGTGAACACACCAGAGTACCTGTGTTGGTAATCAGATAAGGTAGAACAGATCTCAGCAAAAGCAATAATTGAATAAATGACCACTACAGGGTCTTTGTGCATTTATATCTCCTTGTAATATTACAGTATAAATTCTGAATTTATCCTTGTTCTGTATATATGCAGTCGAGACAGCTGTTAAGTTGATTTCATTCTAAGCTACCTTTGTTCCTTTTTTTGTTCTTGAAGTGGATAATACCTGTTCCTCCTGGGAGTATATTGTTAAATACCACACATTGTGAAAGGAATCAACACCAGTGTCCTTCAATGGTTGTACAGGTGATATCTATAAGTTATGGCTCCACCCACATGGTAATGGGAATAACCAGTCACATGAGCAGAACTGGTCACCCTGGATAAGTGCAAGGTCTTTTGCAGGCTAAGGAATAAAACATTTGGTCAGTCTGTCTGGTTTATCATCTTGTATCAGTATATGGTCTGGAATATCATTTTAGTTGATCTATTCAGGACGAGAAAAAAAATTAACCACTGAAGGTATCCAGTCAAAGCAACAGCTGTCATATTTATTCGTGCAAGTATGCACACTTTGTTTGTGTTTATTTGTCAAATTTTATGAATGGATGGGCCATATTTGTTACAGAAGATGTTAGTGACTTGTTGGTAATGCATTTCAACAATAAACAAACAGCACAGAGTCCACTTGTTTTAAAATACTATATTAAATTAAATAAAACATATATACAGATGTTCGTTACACAGTTAATTACCCCATCTGTCTCAAGAGCTTTAAATAATCGTCTCTTTTCGACAAGAATCCACACCGGCTGATCCAGTTACTTTCGAACACAACTGACAAGACAAATTATTATTCTCTGCTCTGTTATCACAATACAATTGGTGATAATTTCACTTAAGTTACACTGCTGGTTACCACAGTTGTAACCATAACTTTAATAACTGTCTCTTTTAGTTAAAGTCCACACAGGTTGGTTCAGTTACTTTAGAATCCAATTGACAAGTCAAACTATCTCTTCTCTACTCTGTTATTACTATACAATCTGTGATGATTTCACTTTAGAAATCGCCATTGTGCACTCTTTATGTGGCTAAATTCACAATGACGTAGTCTAGATCTATCTATTTTAGCTAACTAATTCTGTCTTACTATATCAATAACTAACTAGAACTACATGCTGACAGAGGCCTAGAATGTTCCACATACTACACAATATTACGATAAAATAATACTCAGTTGAAACAACGAGAAAAACATAGAAGTTTCTAGTAATATGATGCAATAATACAACAAGCACCAATTCACAACAATTGAACTACACAATGTATGATTCGTACACAGTTGTGTAAACATACCTGCGATAAACTATCACTTCTAAAAATAACTAAATTTATTGTATTCAGGTTAGTTTCTCTTCTTCAATGGCTATCTGTCAGTCATCCACCTCGTCTACAACAAAGTCCAGCAAGGAATAGCCAATGTACACTTAGATGGTCTGATGATCCCACCTGATGTCATAACTTACCCTAACAACTCTCTGAGTTTCTTCAGGTGATCTTCCCATCTGGTTGTGTGGGTCAGAATGTACTGTCCACTTTCACCTTATAGTCCATTCTGTTGACCACTTCCTGCACCTCAAAAGGTCCTTTCCACTGCAGGGTCAGTTTGTGTTCTCTGTGGGTACCAGAGCCAAGACTTTTATGTCTGACCTTGAAATGTCAGTCCTTGGCCTTCCTGTCATAGAAGTGTTTGTGACTGCCTTGAGCTGCATACAAACTTTCTTGAGTGAGTTGACAGGTCTCCTCCAGTCAGTTCCTGAGGTATAACACGTATTGATATGTGTTCCTCACTTCTTACTCTTTTTTCTTGTCCACAGTTTTTTCAATATCTGCATTGGATTGGACCTTGTGATGTTCTTCTTTACAATAACTAGAAGGGTGAAAATCCTGTACTTGCTTGTTGGACTTCTTGGTAAGTAAATAATACTGTCTGCAGGTCCCTATCCAAATCACATGATCTATCTTTGCACATAATCAGCATACTCTTTAAGACTCTGTTGGCTCTCTCACAAAGTCCAATACATTAAAAGTTGTACAGGGTGGTAAAGAGCTGCCTAATGCTGATGAGTCCACACATCTCTTGCATCAGTTCTGAAACTGGAAAGCCTACTCTGCAAAACACTTCCAGGAGGGCTTTGGCTACTCTCTATGTCTCTATCTTTGGCAATGCTATGGTTTCTGGATAATGTGGCACATAGTTGACTACTGTCATCACTTACTGTTTGCCCTTGTCAGATACAGGTACTAGTCTCATCAGTCTCTTTTCTGTCTGGTTCCTCCAAACTTCTACTGCCTGGTATATTGCCTATCACCAAGTTGTAGATGGGTGCATTCATACACATTGCCTCCAGGTCTCTCACATAGTATTTATTCTTGCTATGGCAAACTTTCTCATTGTTCCATCAATCAGCACACACAGATGTATCTTGCCTGTCATCTGGTCATCAGATACTAGACTGGTTGTAGTACTTTCACATTATTGTCCCCAACATAGCCTTCACCTGCTGGCATGTTGTGGTTTGTTTGCACCTCTCGATGTTTGTCACATGCTCTGATCACTACTGGCACTGTTGACCCATTTGCTACCTTGAGCTTACCATAAATCATGCACTGTTTAATCATGGAAATTGTACTTCTTTCTTGTGGTGAATCTAATGAGTTATCTCTATTCTCTTTCTTCTAGCAGTAGCACCGATGTGACAGTCACTATTTTCTTGTTTTTTGCCAGCACCATTTTTAATGGTAGCTCCAGCTGCTTTATACTGAAATTTTTGTAGCTGCTAGTTGGTGACACACTTGCACTCACTTGCAATGTGCCTCATTTTATAACAAGCATAGCATATCTTCTTCCTTTTGTCTGTTAACCTCTTGTCACATTTGATGGCATCCTGCTTCTGGTCAGCCATCTCTGTTTTCAACTTTAAATGGTTATTCTTGGACTTGGCATTTATCTCTTTACAAGTGTGTCACAGGTGAAAGGCCATGTCATCACGTTTGTTGAATTGCATTCAAAAATTTATTGAAATACTATTTCATGAAATTATGTCAATAAGTTTGGTATCAAACTGTAGATTATAATTCAAATTGTAGTATTACACCTAAATCAATTTCTTAATTTAAAAGTAAATATAAAAAAAAACACAGTTAATCCTCCTATTTGTGTGTCACATAGTATGTTGAATGCAGCAATGGTTCAAATTAAATGTTTATGATGTCGAAGTACTAAGTCTACAGTTTTGTACGAATTAAAAACTCAAATTACTGATATTAACAAGCTACAATATAAAATAAGAGCCTCTTATCTTTTCAATTTGCTAAGATATTGCTCATGTAATAAATCAAACACAGTGTCACTCCACCCATCTCTTTCCATTTTTGGAAAAGCTCCCTTCTATACACTTATGTTATATATGACATGACTAACCAATTGAAAGCTCAGAATGCCCCCTAGTGGCTTTCTCATCCATTTTAACGTGTTTGAATGCCATCTCTTTCTTTTGAACCAAGATTTCAAGGAAGTAGGTTGTATCTTTAGTCTGCTCAAAATTTCATATTTTTTTTAGACTGAAATACTGCTAAGTTACTAAGCTTGATAAATTACACTGGAATTTATGTAGTAATGTAGTAATTTATGATTGTTTAGTTATTCAACTGTATATATAAAACCTAAAAAAAATATTTTGTTTCATATCCTCCACATAAAATTTTCTAAAGACTTAGCAACCTACATCAAGCAGCGAGTACAAAGGTCAGAACTAGAAGAAATAATTGTTTGCTTTACATCTTTAGTTACTGTTCTATGTTTTAAGAAAAATAAGTTTAAGAACTTATTTCAAAATAACAAAATCTATATACATATATAATGTATAGTTATTGAATTGTGACTGTATATTACAAAATACTAGTCAACTAAAACACAGCCAAGACAAGTTACTTTGTACAGACCCAAGGTTTTATGTTATTTGATACAGTAACATGAATGCACGTGAGCCGCATCACTGTAACTTCTGTATTGTTAGCCAGGCACGGGTGAAAGGTCAATATAATAAAAA